ACCTGACATAGCATGGATGAATGGAAGACATTGGCACATATTGGGACCTAATGATTGTCGCCCTCTTGTGACAGAATATATGAGTGTTTTTGTCTTCATAAAAATATCCTGATGCATATCAGTACAGTGGTAGAGCAGTAGTACCAGAACATCTGTGTCATCTGAACACACACAAACAGGATGCTCTAGGGCCGTTGTCAGTGCTTGCTTAACAATCACAACATCTGCATCGCCTTCATCACCAGCATGCTGTACGCTGATATTGAAATCATTCAGGTGTTCTGCCATCAGGTAGACAAGCGCCTGCTTGTTGTGTCTGTTTGATAGGAAGCCACTTTTATCAGATGGAACTGGGGTTGTGTCTTCGACTTCGAAATCAGCAACTGAAGATCTTTGGAGACGACGACGTTTCTGTTCGGGTTCTTTTGTGGTTATAACCTCATAGCTATCAAAAACCACATGAACTGAAGGACTGTTCTTTGCTTTTGCTGAAACTATTTGACAGAATGATGAGCATATATCTTGAAGCAATCCAACCTTTGGCCACTGCATTTGTTGCAAAAGGGCACATCCATCTATGACAAGTGCTGTATCCCTGTCCCATATACATCCCATATGTTATTTGTTGGCTTAACACCAAGTTCTTTTCTGGGCTGAGTTCTACATTGGTATGAACTTAAGAATCAACACATAACAGAAATTGGGGGCTCGTGCGGGTTCGAATTTTTTATATCGTGTGAAATAACAATCATGGCCGATGTCAAGAACACTTTGATCACATCCCTTGTTGGGGAAAAAAGTTTGGCAGATGATGCTTGATTGAGGGGAAGACTGACATTTTAGCTTTAAAGGAATTAGAATTCGAGTGAGACATTCGACTTAAGACACTGAAGCTGAGGAAGAAAGAAAACGGAGAGAGTCTTGGATAAAAACATGATAAAATGCATGCTGATGTAGAAATTACCTAAACATGTGATAAATCATTTGATCTTTCAAGGCAGATTAAACTTGTTCCGCCATTCTCTGAACATGATTCTGAACAGTTTTTCTTGCATTTTCGGAAGGAAGGTAGCAAGCAATCTGAAATAGCCTAAGAATCAGTGGACCATGTTCTTGCAAAGTGGATTTAGGGGAAACCTCAAGAAGTTTATTCTGTCTTACCTATCCATACGAGTTCTGTTTATCAGTATGTTGAAGCTGCTGTTTTAAAGGCTAATGAATTGGTTCCTGAAGCTTACAGGCAAAGGTTTAGGAGTACTTTTTACCTTGTCTTTGGCCATAACGTTCATGGACCTATTAAGCACATAAAGGATTAATGATGGCATAATGTTAGGTGTGAATGAGTCTGTTGGATCATGTTTCATCATTTCGAACGAGGCTTTCAAAAACGTGAGGATAATGTGAAAGATTCCCAGGACGAGATGAAAGTACATTATAACAAGTCTCAAGACATACATTCCAGTCCTGGACATGAAGTGTTTTTACCAATCCCTGGTCAACCATCATGTGCTAGGTACCATGGGTCTTGTGTTATAGAAAAGCACGTCAGTGAAACTGACTATGTTGTTTTAGTACCATGCTGGCATAAAATAACGCTTTTCTCATGATTAAAATGTAGCATTAAAGGAGAATACGAACGAAAACAAAACTTTTGATATATTGTAAAGGATATTCTAAAAGTCACCTTCCGTGATTAATAGTGAACAAAAAGTTTGTAAAACAGCAATAAAAACACAAAAAACGTACTCGTATTTACGCCTATTACGGAAACACCCGACAGTTAATGAGCAGAGAGGGTATCACGTGACATGTCGTCATATGTGCCTGTTGCTGATGGCTTCCTCTTTGAATTTACCTCACAACTTTACAGTGTCCATTGATTCTGAAGCAGTAAAAGATGTTCCTGATGTCATTTCTGAAATGGATGTTAGACCGTATCAATACGATCCAATTTTACATCTTGCAAGACAATCTTCCAGTGAAGATGAAGAAGGAGAATCAAGCGAAAACCGAGGCACGGCTTGAGGTCAAAATAAATTTAGAAATAGACCATATCATTTAACAAGAATACTATTTGTCAGCAAAGTGTGATACAGTTCCAACCAGCAAACCCACCCCTATAAATATATGACCAGTCCCTAAGAATTTTTTTTTTCAAATGTGATTGCAGTTCCTTTTGTGTCAAATGGGTGACTGTAGGGTGTCTGGGATTTAAAAACGAAATAGTTATGCTTCAGACTTGGGAAAATAGAAATTATCTGCTACAAAAATTACACTGGAATTATTTTGTTGAAAAAAAAATTGACCTCCTCCAAACTTGGAGATTTGCATTAATAACGTATCAAGTCTCCCAAGATGGTCGAGCAGAGATATTATTCGCGACGCTGATAAGTTATTCCCCGAAAACTGTTGAATTATAAAATACTAGTCAGGACAATGTATGTTTCCCCAGTGTTTGGTTATGGAAATAGTTATGGTACTCGGCCATAGCCTTACAATGACATCTTGTCAGCCAATGCGAATACGGAACAACTTTCACGACACACACTACTGACAAATAGTGAGTGTGATGCCGACATGCGTAATTGGACAAAATGGAAAACAATGAAAGCAACAAGTACTTCATGATTTGCCGTTGTATTCGGCAATGTTTCGGGTAGACTGCAGCATTTAGGGCTCCAAATCGAAAAGAACGTTATAGCCAAACATTTTCAAGCTCATGTGAAATCTCTCACTAATTTTGATAATATATATCTCATGGGTACCAGTCGAACTGCCCCAGCTACAAAATGTCCCAGCAAATTTGGTCACTCATTCTAATTTGGTCAAATTTATTTAAAATGATTAAATATATGCCGTAAATACATAGTTTTTGTCAACTTTGATATTATGTTCTTCATATAAAAGTTGTTAGGAAGTAATATTTCTCATAAATGTTCCATTAGTAAACTCATAACCATGTAGGCCTATATACTTTTATATGAAGAACATAATATCAAAGTTGACAAAACTATGCATTTTGGCCTATATGTAATCATTTTAAATAAATTGGGGCATTTTGACTACCCACCTGGGGCAGTTTGACCAAAACTCCGGGGCAATTTGACCAAATTTGCTGGGGCAATTGTAGCGGGGGCAATTCGACTGGAAGTCGGACTTTAACCTAATTTATGTTTAAAATACCACTGACAGTAAGCTGTAACAGGGAATGATGGAGTATAAATGAATCTCGTGGGTAATTCTTCCTTCTTAAGCCTAGCTTGGGGATTTTCATACCACATGTGTGCATGTCTCTTTCATATGCGTCTGACTCGGAATGATCGGAGCATTTCTCCTGCCTAAATCTGTCTCTTTACTTGGAAAACGAAAGAAATGGTGGCTCTTTCCATTGATCGATGATTCCGTGCATCCCCAGGCAACGGAATACACCATCGTACCATTTAAATCAACGACAGAAACGACACGATTTGTATTACTGTAGCGCTTGTTCTTTGGCAATATGGCGGACGCTAGTCACATACGACGTTACGAGCGGAAAGGTCACGTGTGTTCCAGCGGAATATGCATAATGGCCGAAGCTCAGATAACAGAAACTGTTTTCGCGATAAAAGCATAATAAACCACATTTTTGAAATCCAAATTGGGGTACATGTTTCTGATGACTTTATCTTTCACCCAGCAAATTACTGCAATTGTCTAATATGCTCTTTTAATGAAATGTCGACCAATGTACCAACTGTGTGTGTTGCCCCTATAGATAATTATCAAATCGTGATATTGATGAGAAAGGTGACTTTGTGAAGTTTGATTACATTGGTGACTATTCAACACCTCAGCTGGCTTGGATGTTAAGCGAGCTCAATTGCCACCAGAGCAAAATACCCAAGTGACAGTTAATTTGAGTTCGTTCAAATACCCGGCCGTACAGTTTAATGTATCATGGTGTAGATGCATGTGATGTTGTGCCTGTGAAACAACATTTCCACCAGATGAATAAAAAAGGCTTGAAGCCTTGAAGAAGGAAATTCCATACATACTAACAGTGACATATTTGAAACTTTCCAACTGGCCATAGATGCAAGTCATATTGGTGGTGGAGTTTTGAACATCCTATCTGATATTTTTCAAAAGAAATTTACAAACCCTTTCCACAGCCATCATAAATCTCTACAAAAAGCACAGCCGATGTTACAATTCAGAGTATATCATGAGTATTTGTTTGAGAATCCCAGATGTTATTCCACCATTAAATAGGTCCATCTAGACGTACATAATTCGTTCATCTGAGCGACTTTAGAAGTTGTCCACTGGTCTCGAGGGGGACATAGGCTGATGTACCATCGAGGGTACATGAACCCATGGGCCCCGAAGCACCAGTGAACAACGTATTTAGCTTACCGAACACCTCAATGGTAATTTTGAACTGTTTGAAGCACGGGTATCGGATCATAGTACGGAGTACCAGACGACAAGACGGCAAGAAAGCCCATTTCAGATGCCCAATGCGTATCTGACATTAACCTCAATATACAGTTACAATTTTGAACATGTACTACCAACATCAGAGAAAAGCCAGTCAGGGGATTTGATGACACAGATCCCATTGGGCATAATAGACACAAATGTGGTGAAAAATATATGTATGGTAGACATCGGGTGTATAAGGGTCAAGTAGTCCCAGCCTCTTGGTGCCATTCGCTATTACGAAATGCGGCGTAAAACCATACTCACTCACTCATCCGCTATTCCTACAGTTGATATAACATGTAGACATACATTTTACAGGTAGTGCTACTTCAAAAATATGTCCCAGGTTGTTAATTACCTTAATAATATTTGAGAGGCAGAGATGAGTCCAGAAGAATGTAATGTCTCTCGTGATACTTGTTGATCCTTCCATGCCCCTGGAACCATCCAGTGATCACTATAGCAACAAGGCAATGCCACTGCCGACATATATAGTCATTGCAATATCCACTGTACAGAAAACCACGAAAATATAGAGTTACTGCATGTATTCAAAGGTGTAATAAATCTATTATGTACATATTTAAATGGATTCATTTATATCTACAGATGTATGCGCATCTACACTGTACATTTACATTTCATTTACATCAGTATGTACTGTAAGAGAATTAGGACATTCACTGTCAAATAACAAATTATGTACATAACATACACGAAAATTTCAAGGATTTGATAAACAATGTGCTGCCTGTAAATTCAATTCAACTTGAATACAAATCTAATTATAACATTCATCATAGTAATGAATACACTGTAATCCGGGTATGGCCTCTGTCTAAGTATGTGTAATAAAAATGTATAGCATCTTAAAATTGCAAACATTGTTAATTCTTGGAACAGTTTTGCTTCAACGCTGGTCTCAAACGCACCACCGTCTGATGTGTGAGACGTTGATTATTTGTCAAGCATCTCTTCAACCTCTGCAGCCTCACCATGTGGTATGTTCCTTGGCCGTTTTAAAACATCGAACTTTTGCGGAAGAATTCCTTTGTCAAACAAGACATCCGCCAACCGAGACACGCAGTATATGACACCGAACGTGATGACACAGATGAAGGTTCTGTAGGGGAACCTCTGACCGTCTGTCTCTGTATAGAATGGGAAGGTGATGAAGATCGGGAGGTTGATGAGAGGCTCCCCAGCCCCTATGCGGACTACAAATCCTATGATGAAGCCAACTAGAGACCCGTAGGCGTTAACGGTTTTCGAGTACATGACGCTGATAAACTGGGGGAAGAGGATGACGTACATGAGGTCGGAGGAGAGGACGAACAGACCGTAGACGCTCTTCCCCACAATGGCCAGTATGGTAGCTAGTGTTCCGGCCACAATGATAGCCAGTCTCATTACCCACATCATTTCTCGAGGAGAAGCCTGCAACGCGATTCAGTAAATGAAATCACAACATTTTGAAGAAGTCTGTTTAGATCATGTTTGGGAGTGCAGAACATGCTGTGAACTCGACCATCTTACCTACAACATCGCTCCAGATATGTGCCTTTACGTTCACTGCAGTTTTGTCATCAAAATAGTATGACGTCATTGCATTCTGACGTCATGGTCTGGATATGTACATAAATTAATCTACATTTAATAACGACTTTTGGGACATTTATGGATGCATAAACTTAAAAACGATGTAAGCATCATCTAGGAAACATTAAGACTGTTTTTGACATGAATTCGAATGTCTTAAATGATATTCTGAGTTAAGGAAACATGGATTATCAGGACGAAGATGTCGATCTGGAGACAGTTGAAACTAATTTAAAAGACTATAGAGACTGCCATCAACCTAAAGCAACGAAAGCACATGACCAAAAGGGTGTTAAAATGTTCCAAGGTATTGTAACGCTGTGACGTCAATTTTCTAAATTTCTATGTGGTTAACGTTAAGTGAAAAGTCAACTCTCAATTGTAAATATGTTCCAATATATATATCAAACGGATATATGGAAATGTAGTTTATTATCGAGACCTTGTTTGCTTGGCCAAGCTGTATTTCGATAACATTCAACGAAACCTTCTGGGGTCCAAGGGAGATAACTTCAGATTATATTTGTTTTTCAATCAGCTGTTTAATGGCTTACTTACATGTGTACACACACAAATGTCAAAGCTTAGTTTGCGTACCGGTAGATGGATAAAATAACTGAGAAATATTGAGAGGTTCTATTTCAGCACATGAACTTGGAAACTTGCAGTCTTTTTTATCGTTTCTCTTATTACAGATCAACTATATATATATATATATATATATATATATATATATATATATATATATATATATATATATATATATATAACACAAACACGTAAACCAACACCAACAAAATTTAAATATATTTTTACAAGTAATGAAAAATGGCAAAATATCCAATGAAGTTTGAGTGAGGTGGGTACAATTTATTTGGTTAATCAAAGGAAAATTAGGACACCCAGGATAACACAAGCGAGTACATAACTCAATGACCCCAAAAGTTTTATCTGTAGCTCTGGTCACGAATGTCACAGCACGTCAACCGAGAGTACAACATGAAGAGTACATTTTGTCCAAAACTTTCCTGGCGGAGAATTCACTCTTCAGAAATTTGTTCTAGTTGAATAACGGTAACTGCGGAGTCTTCTCAAACACCTTGTTATCGATATGGTCATTATACCAAGGGTATTAGAAAACTCCGCAGTTGCCATTATTCATTCGGAACACACCATAGAAAGGGACTAATTTAAGCATACATACGCCCCTTAATACTGGTACAACTTAATATGTCTCTTACCTCACTATTACTTGAAGGCAATATTGTGGCCTATATTATATATATTGGGGCATATGCACTCACTTTAGCTTCCTATTGATGCAATAAAAGACTTATTATCCCTTACGACTTGCCTGAAATCTATAATTGAAACAGCTTCCAGACAGAGAACACATGCCACATATGGAATGGAAACAATTGCTCCGTACATCGAAAACTTTCGCATGCAGTGTTGTCGGTGTTTGCCGGACTGGTTTCAATGACAAGTTGTGCTGAGGACATTCGTAAAGAGCGCTCCAAGGGATATAACTCTATGGGGTTCGCTTAAAAAGTTCAGCGTGTAGAGGACGTGAGAGTCGATTTAATGCAACGTTGCATTAATTCATTCCAACTTTTTCATTTTAATATTGTAATGTAAACACGTATTTATGTATTGGTTTTAATAAATTATATGTTCGCCCCTCTGGGGGCTGATAGTTACTATTTTTGAGAAAAATGCATTATTTATTTTTAGAGAAGTGAAGTGTCATATACCGGTAGTGCCTTTAAACTGACGGGTTTCGGCCCTAGAAGTTTTAACTGGGGAGAGTAACTGTTTTTAACTTTTCAAATTATAGAACTATACATATCCAAATAACATCCTGGTATTCATTCATACTTTGCATTGCCGTTATTCAGCTTCAGTCTAATGGTATGATATTTAGAGTACCATCCACGTCAATGTTAAAGCTTACCCTAGTGCGAATGAGAGTCTTGTAGATATTCTTGGTGAAGACTGACGAGGTGACGAGAACAGTAGAGTCTGTAGAGGACATGACTGCAGCGGAGACGGCACCCAGACCAACGACGGCGACGGGGGTGGGGCACAGATACTGGAGAGACAGGGGAAGGATCATTCCCATCTGGCTTGGGGGGATCGGGACTTCTCCAGTGTACGACGTAGCGTTCCAATCTGTACCATCATCAGGATATCGAGGTATTAAAGAATTCATTAGGAGATGCTAACCTCAAGATCCCATTCTCTTAACCGTGTCGTAGTTCAAGAAAAGCGGTGTGACCTCTATGGTATTTCTGGTCTGAAGTAACATCTGCAGTTTATCCACGGTGGAGGAGGTAACGTTATGGCAATGAGTTGCATGTATATCAGTTAAATTCGTCACAGATTAGAAAATACTCGAAATAACTGCTTACCAGCTGCTGCTCCAGCGACGCCGATAATTGCCGGTGGAACCGACAGCAGCAGGCAGAAGATGCCGGCAATCATGGTGGACGACCTAGCCTGCTCGGGGGTTCGACAGGCAAGTGCCCGCTGATATAGCTCCTGAAATAAACATTGACGTTCATAATTTGATTTTCATATTAAAATTGTTCGCTTTGAACTTCTGGTCAAGGCAGTAAAATACTTTCAAAAGGGGACGATCCCTTCTGTTTCTATCATGGAACCCTCGGTATGTTTGGTTTTATGCGTCACGTTTGATATAATACCAAGAGTCGGAGGTTGCATAAAACCTGTGTATATCCCAAGTAATACTGCTGCAATGGATTTCCCTAGTCGACAATTATCAAAGAGTGAGTGAGTGAGTATGGTTTTGAGCCGCTTTCAGCAATACTCCAGCAATATCACGGCGGTGGACATCGGAGATGGGTTTCACACATTGTATAAATGTGGGGAATCGCACCCAGGTCTTCAGCGTGACAAGCGGACGCATAAAGACGTTCGAATATTTGCCCACGCGCCGATCTTTAGCACATCATACGCAAGCATAAGTCATCGCAAATTACCTCCCTTAGCTCTCTACCTACAAAAATATGGTGACCTCCATGAACAAGTCTTCAGCGCGCACAATTAATCATATTACTGAAAGGCAAAATAAACGTTATA